TCTGTGTCTGTCTGTGTCTGTCTGTGTCTGTCTGTGTCTGTCTGTGTCTGTCTGTGTCTGTCTGTGTCTGTCTGTGTCTGTCTGTGTCTGTCTGTGTCTGTCTGTCTGTGTCTGTCTGTCTGTCTCTGTCTGTCTGTCTCTGTCTGTCTGTCTGTCTGTCTGTCTGTCTGTCTGTCTGTCTGTCTGTCTGTCTGTCTGTCTGTCTGTCTGTCTGTCTGTCTGTCTGTCTGTCTGTCTGTCTGTCTGTCTGTCTGTCTGTGTAAATGTATGTGTATGTATGTATGGTCTAGAGACTGCTGACTTGGGGAGACTTGGGGTGCAGGATGTCTGTTAGACTTCTTGCTTCAACAGCATCCTCAGCAGCTTCTTGTAGCACCTTTTTGGTCCCAAGCTGCGCGCGCTGCGCGCTCGGGCCGGTCGACATCCTCTGATGTCCTACGCCCATGCAACCCATGGGCCATTCACTCCCTAATGTTCCTAGGATGGCCCCCAGCTAGTTGACCAAGAAGCCAGAAATCAATTGAGTCACTATATAATTAATCTTTGTGAGTCATGATAGATCATCAGTCAGTCCGGGTCTTCAATCTTGAACACAATGGGCAAACATAAGACAGCCTTAGCAGTGGACAACCACAATGTACGCTTAAGTTGTATATAGTAATATAGTCACTACCAGGTTTTGCCGTGGCAATAATCGAACCTTCCCCGGAGTAAGAAGAACACTCATTGCTGTGATGTCACACACGCACACACACTCATATCCCTTGAACTTCAGAAGTCTACAGGTAGATTCCTGGCAAATCCTCGGATCTTTTCTACGTCCCTATCCTCTCAATCTCGAGCCCACAGATTTCTGTGAAGGCCTCTTTTCCAGCATCACCTTGCAGCCAAGCATGCCGCTTTTGGATTGTCTGTATCCACTTTTATCAAAGCAGGTATGTAGTGTAACAGGGCGCTAGTGAGCCCCGAATTCAGCGCGTCTTGAATTCGTACTTATGTACTTCAGATTTGAAAGTCAAGTCAACAGATCAACTAAATGGGCAACGCGTGTGACTTGACCAGCAAAAGATGTGCCCCTTCAAAACATTGAAAAAAACACCCAGTAAATGAGAATGACCCCAGAGCGGGGAACTGGCAGGACACAAATTCCACGTTCATGTGGTGTGTCCAGGATAGAAGGTGCGAGATAGACCCGCAGTGACAGACGCTTGGGCAGGACAGGGTCTGATGATCTTGTCTTCAATATAACAACCAACCAGTCTGTTTTAAGTGTTCAAATAAACGAGCTGTTTACAGCGTGTGTTGGCCAGTTCTCAGAAGACTGGGCTCCCCAAGGTTCGCTAGGATCAATCTGTTCAAGACTTGGAGATTTCGCGGGAAACCCCAAGGCTTGTGCAAATGCCTGGACATCATGCTCAAGGAGCTACTAGGGGCTTCTGGCCTTACTACTAGTAACAAGGACGCTACTAGGGGCTCCTGGCATCGCTACTAGGAGCAAGGACGCAACATTGCAATCATTCGCTGCATCGAGCCTCATTTGCCAGTCTTCGAGGCCCTTTTCGCGAGCTTTCCGCTTTTCCTTCTTCATGGCCTGGCGGCAACGGCTTGCCGGGCAGGAAAGGGGGCCCCAATGAAGCCAAAAAGGGCAATGCCACAAGCAGCACAAGGCAAGGAGTCCATAGTTTGGGGTGTTTTTTTCAGAAACGAAGTTATACGGGTGTGGTTTTTACGCGTTTTAATGAGCTTGGGAACGAGTAGTGGCCACACAGCCAATTCAGACCCTTAGTGTATCTATGGCTGGATCGTTCCATGGATGGGCTTCATAAGGTTCTTTGGAAGATTTCGTCGTAGATGGGGGGATATGGAGCATAGACCTGAAGAGCCATTGGGTGAGGCTCGCAGAATGGTTCCCTATGACCATGAGAATGAGGATGAGGCTTATTATGGGTACGGGCGTCAAGAAGGCCATGCAAAGCCCAATTCCAATCAGTCATCCAGGTCCAGTACTAAGCAAGTTTCTCAACTTTTGTTGGGCCTGGTGGGCACATTGTGTTTCAAGATAATGCTCTTCTCTCCATTTCATAAAGAATGTGGAGGGAGAAGCCCAAAAAGTGCTACCTTTGAAACAATGAGAATGCTTATGGGCAAGGAAGGGTAGAGTCGGATCCACAGGTTGTTTTCAAAAAGAAAAGTTGGTTTTGTTTGGGAAACAAGAACACAAGAACATATCTAGACCGCAACGGTGGAAACTCTTTCAAAACATGACAAAATCTAAGAAAAACACAACAAAAACGGGTAAAAACCACACCCGCATAACTTCGAGCTCTCTCCTTTTTTGCATTCTGTGATGTATCTGAGTTGAAAGTTAGCTTAGTTAGCTTTCAAACGTATGACAGGTGACACCTCTGTTGTTCCTTTTTCAAAGTGACAAGCTACGACGCTCCATCTTCCGCTGGCCTGATCACGAGCATCTTGTGAAGGATCCCGAAAGTAGTCCGAAGGCATCTGCGAGGGCTCTCCGTACCGGAGAGCCAAAACTGGAGCAAAGCGATTCGTTCAGGATGGGAGATTTCCTCGTGCTGTGCTGGATGGGATTCCCAATTCAAGGCAATTATCTCTAGGTAGAGCAAAAAAACACATGTTGGACCTGCATCCAACATTCATAGTACATAGCTTCTTTCTGCAACCTGGGAATGATGATTTTGCATGTGGAGATCGGTGGTTTTCACATGCTTTCACCCAGCCAGCCGCCCAGCTGCCGCTGCCCCTTTTGTTGTTTCTCCATCGTCCACCAGAGTCGCGGAAATGCCCAGCTCGGAGAGGCGCTTCCTTGGGGAGGCGGCTTTCAACATCACTTCTTGAGATGTACATATGCGGCCCATGGGTGTGTAATAGGGAGGTCTCCAACCTTAATAATAGGGCGGGAGGTCTCAAAGCGGGTAGGCAGGTCTATTTCCCTTCTTCCAAAGGGTAGCAGTGGGATGCTGCGGGTGACAAGCAGGAGACCGACCGGTTGACCTACCTGGAAGGTCGTTCGCTACATGGTGGACCCGGGCTCCAGGTTTTGACCCATCCCGGATCCATCCCCATATTGTATTGTATAAAGTGGACTGAGTGGTGCATGGACAGGGGCGATAGACCGGTGACCTTATAGGACACCACTTGGGGGGTCCTGGTGTAGAGGTTGCTCTGATTTAACGTCAAATTGATGTTGAAGCTGAAGGCTGCTTTACACCTATATGGCGTGTAAACACCGCGGAAATGCTTGAGGTGGCAATCTGCAAAGAGATGTAGTTTATGGCATCAACAGGTCGATGACTCACGCGGAACCACCACAGAAAGTGGGCACTTGACAATTCAATCGAGCCTGTGGCTCCTAGTGATCCTACTCGCTCCTACTGCCATGTCTTCCACTTCCCTCCTTCCCTCCTCTTGTGCCATGTCTTCACGCGCACCCTACTAAGTCCGGAACTCCATCTCTGTTGCATGCTCCGCCCAGTCCTTCTCTGTGTGCAGGTGTGGCCACATTGGTTTACTATCCTGCCATATGGGTGGGGTTTTAGAGCATTCCTTATCATTTATCACCGATTGATTGTGTCCAGGTACAGACTGCTTCGACTGCTTCATCGCACCAACAAAACAGCTCGGCCACTCTTGCTAAAATTATATTAAGCAAACTCGCAATGTCACCCAAAAACTCCCTACTTACTATACTGTACCTTTCCAAGTAAAGCTTTAGATCTTTACAATCTTCGCGTTCCATGTCTACATACCATGTGTCACGTACCCCTCAATGTGTTCGTTCACCATCCGTTCACCCACTTCGTTCGTCCACCGACCGCCCTCGCCTCCGACGCCAGGCGCCCCGTCAAGCTTCGGCGCCGCAGGGCGTCGCAGCGCCGCGCCAGCGCCGCTACTTGGGTCGGTGGAGGAGCTGGTGGCGGTGGCCTGGAAAAGAAACATATAGAAAAAAACATGAACAAAAGAAAAGACATTAGATTAAAAACAGGAAACGTACAGTAATAGCAATGATAGCAATGAGCTCCAAACCCCATAGCAATGGCCTCCAACCCAATAACAAATGACCTCCAACCTATTAGCAATGACCTCCAACCTGATAGCGATCCGTTGGCGGTGGCCTGGAGAGGGGGCTGTGGTTGGCGGGCTTTGTGGCGATGTCGCAAAAACCAGGTTTTGTGACGAAAAACGTGTTGGGCATCACTGGAACCCGCCAGGAAATTCGTGAGGGTCACAAACACCCAACCAATTGGTGTTCAACCGGTCTATTCAAAAAGGAAAGTCTCCAACCAATGGATTTTGGGCTATGTCCCTTCTTCCAGAGGGATTGCGCGTGTCACCAGTGGAGGACTTCTGCGTTGGAGGACTTTAGGTACAGGCCCCAACTAACCCCCCCAAAGTGGGGATACACTCCCTGGAAGAATCATGGGCAAACGTGGAGAATTTCCTGTCATCCTTTCGCATCCTTTCGCCATGTTCCACGTAACCATGGTTCTTCTAGGGAACCCATCGAATCTGTGGGAGACTTGCACTGAGCCTCTCGAAAGCACGAACGCGCGAGCTTGCACGCCTCTCGGAATGCGCACTGGTGCGGCGGCTCATCGCCACCCAGTCTTGAAGGACCTGCTGTCGGCGGCTTGGCGATGCCGAGCGAAAACTTTTTCCTACAGATATCTGACCAGAGAAGTAAGTGTTCTCCACCCGGAGGTCCTGCCATGATTCCGCATCAAAACAGAAACATCTCATTGATATACCTGAGAAGCTGCAAAACGAAAGCCAGCGTTTTGCCAGCCCCGGGCCTTTTGCTTGAAGAGAGAAAGTAAAAGGCAGCGGTAACTACCCTGGGTCAGCTACCCTGGGTCCGCGCGCGCCTTGCTGGCTCCGGGTCTGCCCTAGATTTAGGCGCGCGCGCGCGCGCGGACCCAGGGCAGCTACAAGGCAGTTGCCAGGTATACCCAGGGTGGCTGCGATTCAGTTGCCAAGTATAGCACTTCAAGCAACCGAAGACAATTGCATTTCTTAAAGTCACAGAAAAGCACCTCCAAAACCTTGCTTCCGTGCACCCCTACACACCACCTACTTTCCAGTGTGCTTTCTCAGGCCACCCCCCCGAAACCCCCTTCTTACTCAGCTGGCGCCTTGCCAGGTATCAGGGTAGCTACAATTCAGTTACCAGGTATAGTACTTCAAGTTCCCTTTCCGTCAACCGCTCGATAACCTTTACACACGCACTGCAATCCAATTGTAGATACCCTGCGTACCTATAATACCTGGCAAGGCGCCCCCCCCCACAACCCCTACTTACTCACTTCGTTCGCCAAACACAACTCAGCTGGCGCCTTCGACGAAGGCTGGCTTTCGTAATATATATATATTTTTATAATGTATACCCCCTATCAAGCCCTTTGCATCCCTTTGCTAAGGATATCCACCGTCACTCAGAAGATCTCCTGATCTCTATTTGTTACCAGCAATGGCGATGGCTTATACACTGCCAGGCACACGCTGGATCTCAGATCAAGTTCGATCGATCCACTGGATCCACACCGTGGCACACAGGTCGAAACAGGGTCGAACTTCAGAACTTGCAAAGCCTCGGAATGCTGAGAACTAGAACAATGTGCCAGGACATTTGTGGATCGAAACCCAGGTACCTTGCTTGACCACGGGTCAAATGAACAGGTTCGTCTATAAAGGATGTCCACCGAAACCATGGTTTGGTGGGTGAGGTTTAGACCTGCATTTGGACCTGGAAGTCTTCGAGTCACCGCAAGCCACCCTTTTGTGCCTGATGTCCCAGCCCAAACTCTGGCACCGCCAGGAGCTGGGTCTCGAAGGCAGGACTCGGCACAGGGGTGGAAGGAAAGACAGAAAGGACTCTGTTTGATGGGAGTTGATGAGCATCACATGTCTAGGTCCACTGTCAAGTAGATTCCTTTAGAACACCAATTTAGTGTGTCGCTTAAGAATCCACAAAAATGTAGGCACAAGTATTTGTCCAAAGTCTAAATCAACTCGAGCCACTACCAAGAAGGGACAGACCTGTACTCAACGTTGTCTCAAAAGTCTTCTTGACAACCCTTTGTGACAGTGAGGCGGTCCAAATTCCCCAAACAGCCGTGCCTTTGGGTCACGCGCCACAAGAAGTACGGCGCTCCCGGCTTCAGCACGTTGTCGGCCACCACCATGGCACCATCCTTCAACAGGCCCATCTCCTGTCGACGTCGGGACGGTGGACGCAGCTTCTTCCGTCTGTTCGCCCCCTGTAGAGCCCAAACAGCCCTGTGTTGATCGGACAAAACCATCAGAACTGGGTGGTTGGATGTGGTTGGTGGCTCAAGTTCTGGCGGCCCCAAACATGGGGCCTGCAACCCACGTACAGTCGGGCCCCTTGGTTGCTCAGTTCGTCGCTTGGATCCCGAATGGTGGTGGTGGGTTGCCAAACAGAAACAGAACTGTAAGAGTCTCTCTTCCAACAAGTGCAATGGTTTTGGAAGTCTGTTTCGAGATGTGTTCGAGCTTTTCAGCTAACCGTATTCATCATAGAAAAAACTCGACGTGTCTCATCTCCCCTTTCTTAACTAGCCTGCACTTCATTCTGCCAGAAAAAAGAAGCACAGAAATCAGCTTTTTCGCCGGTCCAAACCTGCGCAGGCGTCTTTCGTAGCGGAGGTGTCTTTTTGTCGTCGAGTCGGCCTCAAAGTCCCGAAGATCGTCATGAAAAAGACTACCGCGGTGATCCATGAAGAGCAGGGCCTAAAAGCGCCAAGCACTCGGCACTGGGAAGTGAAAAACCTCGACTCGACTGGACAGGAAGTCCAGTCCCCACTGTTCAATCCGTAACAGCTCCATGTTCGCTCGGTATGAGGGATACATGAATGGTACAAGGTGCGAGCTGCAGCCATGAGTATTGTCAGCCCTGCTGTCCCAAAAAGCACGGGCGATCTGATATGCCGCGAATGTTTGGGCTGGTGCTGTACTGCTGTAAGCTTCAAAAAACAATGTGAGGTGTTCCTCAAACAGTTTAAAGGGTACAGTGAAACACCAAAAACAATTATGTGTTCAATTTCTGCTTACTATATATATATATATATACACACAAATGTCATCCTATTTTGGAACTTCCAACGACTCCGTTCCTTTTCCACTTGGCAGTATGACACTCCACTGGGGAAGAATGGGTCACTTGGACTCGACAGAAACATCTTTTCACCACCAATGGTGGCATCCAAAAACCCCTCGGCGGTTCCATCTGTTCAGCCATTCCACCACAGAATCTTTCCCAAAGCGTTCATGCACGTAGTGCGCCATATCGCTGCTGTTGCCAATCCACACCTGGCGAAGGAGCGACTCTGCCCCCGATGGGGCGTTTACGCGTTACCACCTAAATGCACTGCCCATAAACCTGGCAGCTGGGAGTCTCATATTCAAACCAAATCCTCATATTCAGCTGATGATTGTCGTGACGAATGAGAGAATGATTGATCTCTGCCAGGTCAACAGGGTGCAACATGAGACCAGTTGACCTGTCTACTCTTTCTTCTTCCACGTGCAACGAGAAAAACGGATCGTCTGGGAGTGCTGTAGGGTTTTCCGAATTCGAAGCTCTGCAGAAGCTCTGCAGAATTCGATCTTACAAGTTGCCAAATGTAAGTGCTTGAACTCCAAGGAGATGTTGTAATTTGCCCCCTAGATATCTGGTTGGAAGCCATCCAGCAATAGTCTGTAAATTTCAAGCGAGTATGGATGAAAGTCATGTCCCACCCTGTCATGTCCCTCTGTCCTGGTCAAATTTGCAAAGCTGCCTGCGTGTGTGTGTGTGTGTTCATATTAATAAAAGGTTAGACCTTCACCTATAAGCAATAGGATTTTTGACACATTCCGGGTCTCAATTTGTTGACACATTCTCAAAGAACACCGTTGCACACTCCTTACCAAGCATCCTCCTTTTTCCCGGCACTCCATACTCTCACAAGACCCATGCAACCAAGGCCACCAATGGGCAGCCATTCACACGAACGTGCCAGGGACAGAACTGCGTGAAAACATGATTCTGATATATTCGGATGATTCTGAAAAATATTTGTTACAGCTTCCTTAGTTCATACGAGTATATACGAGTTTGGTTTCGACAATCGACAATCTTCGATTCAACATGCTTATACTGTACTTGAAAAAATACAGGCCTTAAAGACATGTCTATAGCTCAAAGAAACGAAGGACTCTGTTCACCACCTGGCACATTCTTCCAGCTACTTGCTACTCAGAATCGCTTCCGCACTCAGCGCAGCAAAGCTTCCACATCGGCATCAGGCTTTGCAGGCGCCCAACCAACCCAAGAGTCACCCTGACGTGCTCAACGATGCTTTGCGTGGTACGAGTATAGTTCTTTTTTGTGCAACCGTCATTGATTTGTATCAAATTCTGGGTGGGTTTTCAACAACACATCATAATCATGTTTCTCTGTGTAACACTCACTAGTGGTTCCCCATCATGTCACTCCTCAAGCTGACATTGTGGAAGAAGTCACGTCACATCCGCATACGCAGCTAAACTACTTGTATGCTGAACTACTACGCAGGTGTTTTGGGCAGGATGTCTGTCACCCAGCACCATCATACACAATTCTATAATTATATAGATGGCTCCAGTCAAACAAATCGGAACCATTGGAACACCTTGTGGCACTTGCAGCGTAGATCACCAAGTAGGTGTCTTTCTCTTCCAGAGAGGTCGGTACATCTCAAAAACACTGCCAGTGAGATCAACTCATAGAGGACAATCAATCCCAATCTACACCAACCTAAGTAAGGAGTACGAGGCCGCTTCCAAAGTAAGCGCAAAGGAGTTTGGTGTCGCTCAGTGACTCAACTTCCATAATCGACGATTCGAAGTGATGGCAAGTTCCAACTCCTTCCCACCCCGACCTTTTGATCCTACCTCCCTGTGAACTGAATTACGCCTCTCAGAAATGCCCATGCCATGGCCCGATGCTCCTCGCCTGCACCCGGCCACGGCGGTAGATGGAGAAGCGATGCCGCATGAAGACCTCCCCCAGGATCATCATAGGTGGATCCTGGCCAGATGTGGGGTCTGGTGCTTTAAACAAATCTATATGTCTTGAATTGTCTTGACAACTTGAAACTTGTGATAGGTGATACTGTAGATCAGCCTCAACCTGCTTCGTCTCAAGTCAACGGAATGCTTTCCGAAAAGATCGGCATACCCAGCCACCCCGTCACATCCTCAGGACTGGCCGCCAAGTTCATGATGCCGGGAACACAGCTGTGATCGAAGGGACTGCGTACCATGTAGACCTCCGCTGGAACACGATCGAGGGAACCATGTACTCTTTTCTCCAGAAATCGTTTTTGATGGCCCCTGACATCAAGCCTGACAAATCATGTCTGGCTGTTATGAATCTCTATCATGCCAACGTTCACTCGTTGTACCACACCTGGGCGAGACCGGTCTCGCCTCTGGAGGAATCACCAGCTCCGCAAGCGCACTGTGGTTGGTCAAGTCGGTTCCCACCTCAATCAGGATGCGGCAAACCCTTCCTGAACTAAGGTGGATGATCTACCAACGCTGCCTTGGCAAATAAGGAATCTCTCGGGCATTTACTGTCATCAACTTTAGTCACATCAGGCGACTGGAAATATGTCAAGCTCTGCATGGAGGTGCCCCCCTGTGCGACCGGGTCACATGTACCTAGTCGACCCGGGTCATATCGCCTAATGCCTTGACCCAGAGGCGTTGACTGATTGAAGCCGATTGGGCTCTGTATCATTCGCATCCCAGGCTCCAAAGCGCACACAGACAACCTTTTTGTGCTCCTGCTTAAAGTGAGAACCGCAGCCATAGCTTTCGCTATTTGAGGGAAAAAAGGGTTGTCCGTGTAAAGATCATCTATAGCCAATGGAATAGTCTAAAGCCCATGTCCATGTTTCATCTCCTTAAAACGTCGATTCGCCGCATTCGACGCATGGAACTCTAGCGCCATGCGTCGAACAGCTCATACAACATGCGCGTTTCGTGGCAGTTTCGATGCGACGAAAGTGTCTGAGAGTATCAGTTTCTATTGGCTTCTCCGGGAATGTACACATCCTCGAGTAGAGGAATCATTACGCAGCATTGCAAGCATTTGGCCGTGTGTCCAGAAGTGGAGCCAATCATCTAACCCTCTGATGACCTTTTCCAGACTTGATACTTCTAGCGCTACGCCACGCCCAATCCACAACGCTCTGCAATTTGTGCCACAAGCTGTTTCAGGACAAACTATAGGTGGACACCCATGACACAATGAGATCGATGAATTTACCACAGATCGGTCACACTTCTTTGTTCCTTTCCATGTTTGAAGGTCACCTGTGACCAACACCCGGATTTGGGTTCATTTGTAGAGACAGCCTGAGTAGATTGCACGAAATGGTAGGTCCTTTCAAAAGTTGCATTCATGTTTATATGTTCGACACTGAAAACTAGGTAGCTTGTTAAGCCTCATGGTCCGCGACGGACGCTGGACTGTTCACTGCGGACTGCGGGACAGGCCGTTTCACGACCGCTTCCGTTGACACAAAGATCTCTGGCACCGACGCAAAAGTTGTTTGTTGATGCTTGCATTTGGCCATTTGGCTGCTTCCCGACCGCGTCCTTTCTCTAGCTATATACTTCCGCAAGGCTCAAGCAACCGACCAAAGCCATCCAAAAGCCAATCGAGCCGCAGTGTGCAAACATGCCAACGAATAGGCCCCACCTATTCGTTGGGGATTTTTGAACATGGAAGCTGAAACCCATCTGCTTTCTTTCCAAGTCTCTAAACGTAACTCCCCAGCTCTGGAGCGCATATCACGCGTCTCCCCAAAAGGTAGACTCTTCCAATAGCCCTTTGACCTTCTTGGAGCCGAGCACTTCCCCAAAACCAAAAAGAAGCCAACCAAATAGGGAGACCTCCCCCAAAGAAAAGTCGAAGAGGACAAATAGACCAAAAGTCATTGGTTGGGGATCCCCATATTTAGATGCACATCACATCCATTCAACGGCTCGATGCGCGAAGGCTCTGCGGCTGTGGGACAGTGAAGACCAACTCCGGGAAGCGTTGCAAATGGTGACCTCGGGGCCGTTTTCGGGTGAAGTCATGCCATGAGACATGCGAGGAGTTGAAGACGAGAGGATGGGATTAGTTGAATGGGAATACAGACATAGTTGTATATAGGTCTTGGTTGATAGCGTAAAACAAAACAACCTTGGGTATTATTGAACAAGACTACAGTAGACGTTTGGGATTTGGTCCACTATCCTCAAGATCGGATCGGAAATCCCTCTGAACCCATTTCAACAGCAAGGAGCAACTGCTGGGCCAAATGAACCTGGAGATCTCATTGAAGAGTCGCGGGGGCGCGGTGAAGAAGGTGGTGCCGCTGTCCATGAGCAAATGAGCACTTGGCATCTCTTCCACCTGAGCAGATTCTTGATGATTCTTGCGCTTCCGCTGATGGTGAACATGCAGTCTACCCAATGGAGGTAGACTGCACATATGTGGCGGGTCCCCAAAAAGGTCTCGATGTGTGCAAGCAACAGCTTTCTCTAATACAATCCCAAACACGGAGGCACGACCAAAGAGGGTTCGTTCAAGCTTCCTAGTCTAGAGCAACCAAGGAATGCACTGCCTGCTGGTTTTTGCAGGGGGGGTCAACACCATTATGTTTTGCACCAGAAAACCCAGCAGCAACATGTGGGGTTGATCGCACTGGATGAAGAGATTCATAATGATGAATTCGAATGCAGAAATTGAGCTTGTTCGACAGAGTTTAAAGTTCGCGAGGAGTTTTGGTCGTCCAATTTAGATTCCCTTAAAAAAGGGACGACCGAACTCCTCTCACAGCCTGCATTTCTTCAGTCGTCTGCAACAAAGGCCCATCCTGGGCAGGAGAGGACAGTTGGTTGATCCAAAGCCAAGCATCGTGATCAGCGCTGGGCAGGACATGATTTCTTGTCATGTTTATAGCCAAAAAAACGGATGTGACAGCAACTACCCTGCGGGGATTCAACATTTGTCCACTGCGCCGGGGGTCAATTCCTTCCTAAGCAAGACAAGGGCAACGCCGGAACCGCTCGACTCCCGTCCTCGCGGCGCTTCTTGGGCGGAAAGAGCAGGTGCAGCAAATCATTCGTGCTGTTGCGGCCCAAGCGAAAGCCTCGAAGGAGGAGTGACCAATACTTCTCCTGATGATGCAACTGCAACTGCGACATAGCTTGAGCATGCTTGAGCGGTTGGTGCTGATTCGGGACACTGCTATTAACACCGATTGGACCGAACATTTGTGTACATTCGA